CACTTTATACCTGCCAGAATGGCTAACATGAACAATTCAGGCAACAACAGATGTTGGCGAGGATGCGGAGACAGAGGACCTCTTTTGCATTGTTGGGGGGAATGCAAGCTGGTGCAGACACTCTGGAAAACAGTGTGGAGGTTCCTCAAAAAATTAAAAATAGAACTACCCTACAACCCAGCAATTGCACTACTAGGAATTTACCCAACGGACACGGAGTGCTGGTGCATAGGGGCACTTGTACCCCAATGTTTACAACAGCACTTTGAACAATAGCCAAATTATGGAAAGAGCCTAAATGTCCATCAACTGGTGAGTGGATAAAGAAACTGTGGTTTATATACACAAAGGAATACTACTTGCCAATGAGAAAGAATGAAATATGGCCTTTTGTAGCAACGTGGATGGAACTGGAGAGTGTTATGCTAAGTGAAATAAGTCATATAGAGAAAGACAGATACCATATATTTCCACTCTTATGTGGATCCTGAGAAACTTAAAAGAAGACCATGGGGGAGGGGAAGGAGAAAAAAAAAAGTTAGAGAGGGAGAGAGCCAAACCATAAGAGACTCTTAAAAACTGAGAATAAACTGAGGGTTGATGAGTGGGAGAAAGGAGGGGTGGGTGATGGGCACTGAGGAGGGCACCTGTTGGGAGGAGCACTGGGTGTTGTATGGAAACCAATTTGACAATAAATTTCATATTAAAAAAAATTAAAAAGAGTTAACAATATTTGTTCTTCCAATCCATGAGCATGGAATGTCTTTCCATTTCTTTGTGTTGTCTTCAATTTCTTTCATCAGTGTTTTATAGTTTTCAAAGTATACATCTTTCATTTCCTTGGTTAGGTTTATTTCTAGGTATCTTATTATTTTAGTGAAATTGTAAATGGGATTGTTTTCTTAATTTCTTTTTCTACTACTTCATTATTGGTGTATAGAAATGCAAGATTTCTGTATACGGATTTTGTATCCTGTGATTTTACTGAATTTGGTTATCAATTCTAGCAGGTTTTGGCACAATCTTTCATAAAGATTTTATAAAGAGTATCATGTCTTCTGCAAATATGAAAGTTTTATTTCTTCCTTACCAACTTACATGTCTTTTCTTTTTCTTGTCTGCTTGCTGTGGCTAGAATGTCCAGTACCATGTTGTATATAAGTGGTGACAGTAGACATTTTTTCTTCTTGTTCCTGGCCTTAGGAGAAAAGCTCTCAGTTTTTCCCCATCGAGAATGATGTTAGCTATAAGGTTTTCATATATGGCCTTTATTATGTTATGTTCCCTCTAAACCTCCTTTGCTGAGGGTTTTTATCATGAATGCTGTACTTTGTCAACAATTAGAGATTGCTGGGGTAGTCTTCAATGGGCCCCCAGTGTGCCTGAAGGTTTTTTCTGAAATGCCAAGAACATAAGGCCCTGACTCTATCCAGGTCATTTTTCATTTGCAATGAGCAACACTGAGAAATGCAGTAAGCAAGCTTGTCACCGCTTATTAATAAGTGTTCTCTTTGTTAATGTAACCAATTGCATGTGTCCATCTAGGTCCACTTCTGTTATTCCAACACATCTACCCACTTTGGGATTTGGGAGCCAAGGAAAACCATGAGGAACCTAAACCTTTGGCTACTACTTTTGCCATGATTTTTAAAGCCTGTTCCTCATCCAGGCATCATGTATGTATATTCTGCCAGCATCAATTAAACAATACCAGCTTAAAAGTAGGATAAAATTTCAGACTTTTCAGAGTTCTTGATAGGCATTATCTACTAAAGGTGTAAGATACACACCTAGCAATTGCACTTTTAAGTTTATACTGGAAAGAAATGCATGCAACATGTATTATAAGATTTGTACAAGAATGTTCATAACAGCATTTTAAAAGTTCATTCTTCATACTTTTGCTTAAATTTCTTTTTTAATCTTTCGAGGCTAGAATGATCCATGTGGTAATGGATTAGTGTTGGCAACACTCTTATGAAATCACTATTAGCTTAATAGAGATACAACTGAACATATATAAAAATACTTACAGATAGGTGGACATAGATAGACTAGTACATACACATGTATATATCTCTTTGCTTTGTTATCTGAGAGGGGCCTAAAATAAAAGATACCTTCTCAGAAACAATCACACCTAGCAGCCAGATTTTTTTTTTTAAATGTTTATTTATTTTTAAGGGAAACAGCTAGAACTTGAGCAGGGGTGGGGCAGAGAGAGGGAGACACAGAATCCAAAGCAGGCTCCAGGCTCCCAGCTGTGAGCACAAAGCCTGATGTAGGGCTCAAACTCATGAACTGTGAGATGATGACCTAAGTCAAAGTCGGGTGCCTAACTGACTGAGTCACCCAGGTGCCTCAGACTTTGGTTTCTAATACTTTTCTCTAATAAAAAGAACTGGAGATCCCTGGGAGAAATGGTGAAAAGAAGTGGGACAAGAAATATACAAGCTGAGCCTAGGGTATTTTGTAGTGCCAGAAAGGAAGGAAGTGATTAAAAATAAAAACAAAGTGGGTCACCTGGGTGGTTCAGTCAGTTGAGTGTCTGACTTTTGATTTTGGCTCAGGTCATGATCCCATGGTCACAGGATTGAACCCTACATTGGGTTCCATAGTGAGTATAGAGCCTGCTTAAGATTCTTTCCCTCTCTCTCTCTCTTCCTTTATCCCCCTCCCTATCTCGTGTGCATGTGCACTTTTTCTCTCTCTCAGAAATAAATTTAAAAAAACAAAGGAAAAACTAAAACTGAGAGAAGTATGTCAAAAAGAGTAATCACCTGAAAGAGATTCCTATGGCTAAAGCTGGAACAATCTGAGTAGCAAAATAAGTAAAATTATAATAAAATAATATTAAATTATATTAATAATATAAAAGTCATAACATTTATCATATTTCAAACTATAAAACAAAAAGTCACACATCCATACTGATTAAAATGAATTAAAAATTAATAAATGGGGGAGAGGCGACAAATCTCTTGACAATGTCTTCAAGACACATTGGAGAAACATGACAGGTAGAAGACATTGGAAAAACATGACAGGTACTACCTCAGCCAGGTGGTCAAAGGCTACACCAATAGGTATAAATCACACTGATAGTATGTACCAATGATACAATGTAACCTTCTTCTCAATAATCTATAATCTTAGTCCTAAAGTGAGAAACACACCAAATTCCAGTAATTGAGCAACCTACAAAACACCTGACCAGCACTCCTCAAAGTCATCAAGGTTATCAAAAACAAAGAAAGTCTGAGAAACTGTCACCTCCAAGAGGAACCTAAGAAAACATTAAAATTAAATGTGATTTGGTATAGTGACAGGAATCCTAGAACAGAAAAAAAAAGGACATTAAGTTAAAACTACAGAAATCAGAATAAACTTTAGTTAATAATAATGTAATAATATTGGTTCATTAATTGTGACAAATGTACCATACTAATATAAAACGTTAGTAATAGGGGAAACTAAAACAGTATGTGGGAATACTGTGGCTTTTGCCTCAATTTCTCTGTAAATCTAAAACTACTGTAAAAAATGAAGTCTATTAAAACAAACATACAAACAAACAAACAAAAAACCTACTTCTCTTTCAAAGCCCATTAGAAATGCTGTCTCCTGCAAGAAACTATCCCTGGGCCCCTCAAACTTAAATGAGACCTCTCCTTCCTCAGAATCCACCTTAGAATATCTCGGTTGAGCACCTATCACATTTTGTCCAACAAAATTATTTATAAACATATTTCATTTCCCCTAAAACATAAGCATCCTAACCTCAACCAAATATCTACTTTTTCATGTTACTTAATATAAAATTAGTTCAAAGCAAAATTTAGAAACCAACTAATCCAGATGAAAGTCACTTTCCGTTTATGGTGAGTTAGTTATCTCCTAAGGCAGTTTCATTCTACTTTTGAATGACTCTAATAATTAGAAAGTTCTTCCTGCTGGGTTGAAGCCAAATGTTCTATAATTTCCTCATTTATTGTACGAATAGTACTTTATCTCCAGCACCTGGCAGAAGTAGACACTCAAAAACTACTTGTTTTTGGATGAGTAAATGGTTAGCTGGTTAAAGGAAGGACTGCAACTTCTATTACCCCTCCCATACAATTCACTGTGTAGCTAACGATCATCCTCCTGATAATACACACATAATATATAGCCATTGAATTATTCACACCGTTATTGTAGGTTTTATAAACAATTTAAGTAAAGCTATGAGAGGTTTGTTAATTTTGTGCACTTCTAATAAGTGAGAAAGGAACTGGGGTCCGCAGATCCCCACGAGTGTACAATTAACGAATAGAAATGAGGCAGACCACCAGGGCTGAGGCAGTAAGGCTCCTTCAGTATCTCTGGGGAAACGCCCCCCGGGCGAGCAGCCACGCGGGGGGGGGGGGGGGGGGGGGCGGCGCCTCACCCCCACTCCAGCTCCGCAACTCTGGGGAAAACCCCTTACCTCCACTTGGCCTGCGTCCTTGTCTGAAAATAAAAAGCTCACACGATCTTAAGGCATTACCCTGTTCCAAGTCCCTAGGATTCTGGGCTATTAGGATTTCGTTTGTTTTCCCCAAGTTTTCAAATTCAAATCAACTTAACACTGCACAAAAATCTCCTGTAAATCGCGTTCCCGCTCAGTCTCCTTAACTGACAAGTGAGAGGTTGGACCACAACTATCTTCACGGCGGCTTCCGTTCTTAAGAGTCTTCCTAGCAGGATACAAACAATACCTAAAGTAAATATAAATCCGCAGACTTGACTACAAGGGTTCCGAAAAGGAAGGTTCTACAACCCTATAGGAAAAAACCTCAGGAAACCCCGTTCCATATGACTCTCAAAAATAAAGGATGGTGGAGAGGATTCTCTCTCACGTCTCCAAATCTCTGAGGTAAAAACTGGACCCGGCAAGTCTGAGGAAAAAAAACACCCTGGCAGGAGAATGAAAAAAAAACGTGAAGAGCGTGGTCCGCAGTGGCTGTAAACACACCTACCCGACCAGCAAGTCCGTGGTGCCACGTCACCTCCCAACTTCCAGAACTTTCCAAGAGTAGCGGAAGTACGGCGGCAGAGCAGAGAAGCACAGCCGTCTTCGTGGCCGCCCCAGCCGCGGGACTTGCTCTTCACGTGCTGCGCTTCCGCGCAGCTGCAGACCTTGCTAACTTTAGCCCCGCCTTTTCTGATCATTAAATGGCAAGATTTGAAGGAGCCAGGAAGTGGTTAGGAGAAAGTAAGTTTGTTTGTTTGTTTGTTTGTTTGTTTGTTTGTTTGTTTGTTTGTTTTTGAGTTGTTTTTTGCGTTTGACTTACTTGCCTGGAGTTAATTTTTCACAATTTTTTAAAATTTAGGCTCAATTCTTTTACTCTTATTATTGACAACATAAGGTCACAGTGACCTCAGGTATATCCAAATTATGAAAAAATACTCACTTTTTTATTAGTAGCTGTAACTGTAACATATAGAAGCCTGTGTGTTTGCTCTTTTGGAATCCATTGTTTTCAACCTAACTGAAACTCAGCAAATTATTATGCGCTGGTGTTCACAATTGTAAAAATTGAAAAAGAAAAAGCCACCACTTGTCTAGAGCTTAATGGTTAGGATGCAAAACTATGTCTTCCTTAGTAAAATATGTATTGCTGGGAAGAAAAATAGTGCTCCTGAAAAAATCCTTTGGAGCACACTTATAATACGGATTCATTATTCCCTACAGTAACTATTTTGTAAATTTTGACTTGTATTAAAATTATTAAACTGATATTATTAAATTTAGGGGCACTCTTTTGCTGCCCCTGTTGGACAGTTTGTTAAAGCCAGGACAGGGCAGGTCAGATTAATCAAGACCTGACTCCAGCCACACCTGTGGATTTGGGCACTCAAGGAATTGACTCAGCTGCTGGTGGGGGCAGGAAGGTTAGGTTGCCAGAGGACCCTTCTTGGAAGGCCCTCATGTTTCTAGCTGGCTAATTGTAAAGGGGTAGGAGAGACATCCAAGAGTGAACTGCCGAGGCTCCCAACAAGTAAGAGTGCAGGATAGCCTTCCCTTTCTACCTGTAGTACCACAAGGAGATTTAGCTGGAATGAGAGCAGAGACTCTAGTTCTGGTAGTGAAACTGGCAAGTGCAAAGAAGGGTCCATTCTGGGGAGGATACTGAAGTTCTGGGCAACTGACCAGAACAGAGAGGGAAAAGCAAACTGATCTTACTGAAAACCTGCATTGTACCAAGTACTATACCAGATACTTTGCATACATGATTCTATTAATCTTCTCCATAAATGCTATAAAGTATACGTTATTCTCATTTTAAAGATGAGGGAACTAGGGCTCAGAGTGATTTAGTTGGCCAAAGTGATATAGCTAGTAAAAAAAGAGCTGAGATTCAAACCTAAATCTATCAGATGTCTGGGCCACATCCCTACCACTACAGTTCCTTCTCTGCACAAAGATCCAGTTATAAGACCTGGAAAACGTCATTTAGGTTACATAAGTATAAAAATGATTTAGCAAAAAGCCACAGACTGTGGAGATAGCATTGATAGTTCATCCTTCCTTCCTTTAATTTATCCTTCATTTTTTCAATCAACAAATATTTGATTGTGAAGAAAAATAGCCTAGTGTCTGGAGTCAAACAGCCTGGCTTCCTATCATGCCTCCACCGTTAACTTAGCTATGTGAACACAGATAAGTGACAGCTTCTTGGTTTTCTCATCTTTTTTTTCTTTTGTTTAAAATTTCCTTACCAATCTCTTTTTTAAATGTCTTTTAACACGTATTCATTTTTGAGAGAAAGAGACAGTGTGAGTGGGGGAGGGACAGAGAGAGAAGGGGAGGGGCAGGGAAAGAGGGAGACACAGGATCTGAAGCAGCCTTCAGGCTCCAAGCTGTCAGCACAGAGCCCGATGTGGGGCTCGAACTCACGGACTGAGAGATCATGACCTGAGCCGAAGTTGGATGCTTAACCAAGTGAGCCACCCAGGCACCCCTCTCGGTTTTCTTATCTTAAACTAAGAATAATAATTGTGCTAGTTCATAGATCAATATATGTAAGCCTTCTAAAGCCGTGCCTAAAACAAGCACTCAATATGTTTAACATGCTATCATTATTCAAATGTTCCTTTAATGTCATCTGGCAGCTGTACAGTATCTGCCCAGTCCATTCCTTCTCCCACTCTCCTGCATAACTGTTTCATACCTTCTCCTTTCCTTAATTCTCTAGCACCTCTTCCTCATCCCTACTTTCAGCTGAAGGTCTTCCTTACTATTTAAATGAGAGAAATCAAAGCATCCAAAAGTGAACTTTCCACTGAGGCTCATGAGCACATCTACCCACCAATCATCATCTCTACCCGCAGATTTTGTTTTCCTCCTAGTCTTGGTAGATTAACTGTGCATGCTCTTAAATAAGGTCAACCCTGCAGTTGGACACTAGATCTCATCTCTTCTTGTTTACTCAAGAACATAGTTCCAACAATTTTCTCCTGTCTCTCTTACAACATCAGTTTTCTCGTCTGTACTGGACCATTCCCATTAGGAAATAAATATGTCATTATTTCTCCCATCTTAAAATCTTTTGTTCCCTCTTTGCATTCTAGCTAACCATCTATTCTTCTACTCTCTTTTATAGTAAAACTCAAAAGGATTGTCTATAATTTCTGTTTCTAATACCTCTTCTCTAATTCTTTCTTACATTTACTATAAGGAGGCTGCCTTTTTCATTTCCACCATGCCAAAGAAATTGCTCTTGTCATGGTCATTGTTAAATCCAGCAATTTTCAATACCAATTTTACTTAACCATTTGTCACAGTTGACCCCTTTCTCCTCTTGGAAATACTTCTTACCCCATACCATGGTTTTCCTGTACCTCACTGGGCACTTTTTTTTTCTTCTTCAATACCCAACCTTGTAGCAGAACCCCCAATACAGTCCTTAGACCTCTTTTCTTCTCTGGCTATATTCACTCCCTTGGTGATCTCATCAATTCATGGCTTTAGATATAATCCATATACTGACAAATCCCAAATTTGTATCTCCAGCTTTAGCCTTTCCCCTGGACTCCAGCTAGTATAAGGAGCTTCCTATTTAATATTTCCACTAAAAGACATCTTAAATTTCACACTTCTAAAGCTGAACTAATTTCCCTCTGCAAACCTATACCACCCCTAGTCTTCCCCATCGCAGCTAATAACTCACACTTTTCATGTTGTTAAATATAAATACCTTGCTTGTTCCTTATATGCCTCACCTCACCCATCAGGATATCTTGTGGCCTGTACCTTCAAAATATATCCATATCCTCACCACCTCCCTAGTCTGAACCACCATCACCAATCACCTGGATTATTGCTATCACCTCCTAACAGATCTTCCTATTTATGCCTTGCCCCTTACGGTCCTTTTTCTACATGGCAGCCAGGGTAATCTTATTAAAGTAGAAGTCAGAATTAAAGCTTAAGTCCTTCTGATGACTGACAATGGCCTAAGTCAGCCAGTTACCCTATTACCTATCTAAACCCCTTCTACTATTTTTCTAACTTACTTTTTCTGTCCCAGATACATTCTGTTTCAGACCTTCCTGTCCTCATATCTAGGCATGCTTCTGCTTCAGGGCTTTTGAACCAGATATATTCATAGTTCACTCTCTGTTGCCCCTCCTTCAAATCTTACTTAGCTCAACTGTCGTCTTCCCAATAAAGCCCACCTTGACTTCCTCATTTAAAATTAGAATCACTCCTGATCTCTCTTAACCTGCTGGGTTTGTTTGTTTGTTTTGCATGTCATTTGCTACCTTCTAACATATTACATATTATGTTTTTTTGTTTGTTTGTTTATAGCCTTTCTTCTCTCACTAGAATGTAAACTCCACAAGAGCATGGACTTTTGTCTGTTTTGTTTGCTGATGAATCCCTAGCACCTAGAACAATGTCTGGTACCTAATAAGCACTAATAAATCTAATTAAATGTTGAAGTATCATTCACCCTGACATATAAAGCACCTTCTAGTTTGTGTCTCAGTGATAACATATCAGACTTCATTGAATGTTAGTAGCCATAATATGAACAGTACCAAAGGGTCTTCTATTTTTGTTAAGATTCTTAGCCTTATTACTGTTAGGCTTGAACTAATTTATTTCAAGCTTTGGTCTTCTGGTTCAGGCTAATTTGTCTGAGAGGTGTTTACTTGAAATAAATGTTCAGCAGCTAACCCTGCTAACAAGTTTTCATTTGGGAGTCTTATGTATTACTGTGATTCATTTATTAACAGAATAAATAAGCCTGTTTGAGTTGTGCTTTTAAAGGTCATCTACCCAATTCAGGTCCAAATATATTGAAACTGACTACACAGATATATTTGGCAGTTCTATAACAGCTCAACTCTATGATTCACTACTCCCTAGAATTCCTACACAGAAATATGTTCAGTTTACATTCATGTTTAGTTTCAGAACATCCCTAATTCAGCAGCTGTGAGAAAGTTATAATGAAAAATTAATTCTGTAAATTATTTATTCCTGAATGGAAAATGTAAGCTTGAACTTGAAAGCATAGAATCAATAAAAATATATATATATATATATATATATATATATTTCATAAACCTTGCAATGCCATATTTCCACATTAGTTGTAGAATGACAAGCTGTTATGAGACAGTGCAAAGAATAGCTTAATGTTTTTTGTGAGATGTCTCAGTTTCATAAGCAGCAGCAAACCTTCTAATCTACTTAGTGGCTTGAATGCTTTGATAGATCTATGATAGTCAATGTACTTCAATATTTTTCCCTTTTAGTCAGTTGCAAATATTGAACAAGCATTTTCTTTTGAGGCTCTACTGGATGTTCTTTTTGTTATCTGCTTCATTCCTGACATTCTGACCTTGATGTTCTAAACTGTCAAAAGGAAACACACACATACACAAAGACTAAGGGAACGTAGAGGAAATCTGATGAAAGAAAAGTGGCTGTTTTCAAATCTAGCCTTTCCCCAATTGTCGTTGATACAGGAACTGATACAGTACTATATTCTCAAAACTCACCATGTATATAAATTCCTATTTTTAAATGATTGGATGTAAACAGTTTATTGCCTGAAGCCTGCTTTGGATTCTGTGTCTCCCTCTC